TCCCACGAGTGCACCATTCAGTGCTATCAGAACTCCTGTGCCCAAGCAGAAAGCCAGGGCCGCCTCTGTGTTAGGAGAAATCCTTTTTCTTCACGTCTAGAAATACTGAGGAGAGCTCAGGGATGCCTTTTCTTCCTGTGTGGACACCAGGCTGGGAACCAATCCCTGTGTTGCAAATGACAGCCACACTCCTCGGCCACTGTGCTCTCAGCAAGGAGGGAGGGCCAGAGCTGCGGCCGGCTCCGTCCTGAGGGCTTGATCCTTCTAAACTGCTCTAGAGTCACTGAACACAGCCATGCTCCATCCATACACCTAGCGAACTACACATTTTAAGAAAGGCATGTGGAGAACTAACACTATAAACTAGGTTTAAAACTTCAATTTTCATAAAAATGTAGGATCTCAGCCTTGACTCTATAGCACGAATGGCACAGCAGAGGCAAGTCAGAGTTCATTTGGAAAGGTCGCAGAGTTCTTTGCTCAAACATCTGAGGGATGCTCTTTCTCAGCTCTCATCACTTAACCCCATAGGCGAGAGGGCCACAGAGCAATGGACCAGAACGGTGTGTGGAGGTTTTCAGCAATTTCCTGTGGCTGGACTCTGCTTTGTGCTGGGCGGGCAGAGGAAAGTGGGTCTCCTCCAACCTCCCACTCCAGCAGCAAACTCTGCAGACTTGATTTTTCCTCAGTTTGTAGCAACTGAGAGCCCGACACCACCAAGGAATCGATTCAGGCTGCAGAAAGGCAAAGGAGAGAGGCCTGGCGGGGCAAGTCTGTCCAAGAGAGACACCATAAACATCCTTTAAAAACAACGAGATATAAAAGCCTCATTCAAGAGAGGGAGCCATGAAACACACACACAGCCAGAGAAAACTCAAGTAGACTGCGGACAGCCTGCGCTCCCCCTAAGAGTCACACTGCAAGAGATAAGAGCTAAATCAGAACAGGTTTTGGAAAAATTTTATTGCATTTTGTTTCCATGTGGAAGCACTGACAGAATTGAAAAGAGGCAGCATGTTCCACTTACTTTTCTGAAAAATCACATGGCTAGATTAACTTTCTCCCTACCCAGGACCTGATTGAATAAACCTTATCCACCACTCCCGCCCCAAGCAAAAGCTAAAAAAGGGGGTTTATGGCAATTGTTCAAAAAACAATCAATGTGTGAGAATTCACGGATGGTCAGTATTATTGGGATTTGTTATCTTTGCGTTTGGAGGGCACTCCCTGCCTCCCCCCTCTCCCCAGTCCCCACCACTTCCTCAAAGACCAGGCAGGAAGTATCTGCCAATTCCAGCGATTGGGCGGGGCTGTAACCTTGCCCCAGCATCACGGCCAGCCCCGTGCCAGGACAACAGCCTCCCAGGTTAAAACATAGATTAAGACACGGGTACATGTACATTTCTAAGTCTTAAAATCAGAAAGTGACTCCACTTTAGAGGGTTACAAACTGAGGAGAAGGGGTTGATGGCAAGGCCGTATGTGCTGGGCACGGGTGCCAATGGCCCTCGGAATGAACACTGCTTAATTGACATCTTGCTGGGCAAGGGAGGTGGGTGGTAAGAGGAAGTAGATGTAACAAAGGAAAATGTAGCTTGCCTGAAATTGCATAATTTTTTTGTCCACTTTTGATTGTATAAGGCATTTTGAACTGGAAAAACTTCTTTCCTTCACACGCTTCCAAATAATCAGAAGGAACATAATTGCTGATTCCGAATACAAATAAGACCCCTTTCATCTCTCTCCCAACACCCCCAAAATCATTCTACACAATTCAAGCCCATACAGTACAAGGCAGGCAACCAATTTTGTGAATTAGGAGGTAAACTGTGTCCGCGTGGGGGCTGAGGCCACTGTGCCACGTGCCCTTCTGGAGGCTTCTGCCCTGATCCTGCCCCTCTCGGGCCTCAAGGGGCAAGCATCTGTCTTCGGTGAGGTTTTAAGTCCCACTGGGGGGCCTGCCACTGCCTCCTGGGCAGCGGGAGGCCAGGCCCCTCCTGGCTTTCCTAAGCATCCCCCACCAGGCGTCCGGACCGGTCCATCCACGCGCAGCGTCGCGTCTGTTAGTAGAAGTGGGCACAGCCGGGAGACAGCACCCTCCACATTAGTCATGCCAGACAGACAGCAGAGAGGAAACCAGAGGCCAGAGAAGTGATTTTGACAGAAGGGTAAAAAAAAAAAAAAAAAAAAAAAAAAGAGCAGCTTCGATCACCAAAAAAATCGAAAGGATGATTTTGAAAATATAAAACATGGGGACTTTTTTTTTTCTCTGCAATGCTCAGCCATTTTACTTGAGACATAAAAAAAAGTTTTAAGAGTAGTCGTTTTGCTTTTTCGGTTTAAACATTCATGTGAACGGACCAGGCGTAGTGCTGTGATGTGGTTTGTGTCTGAGTGGCAATGCTGGTCAGGGTCCTTCAGACCACATACTGGTACGGGTCTGCCTTCCCTTGGTCTGGCGTGGCAAAGGGGCTGGCCCAGCCTAGAGAGAAGGGGTGGCCAAAAACGGCTTTCATGTTCATCCATTTTGTTTTTTTAGCCCATCTTCTCTCTTCCTTTTTCAATTGTTCTATGCCCTGAAAACAAGAACAATCATACTTTCAGTCAAGCACTTCATCGCTGTGGTTTCTGGGGAGGGACGGCCATAGTTTGAAGTGAGTGGAGTACATGACATGCTTCCTTTGCAAAGCAACAAGGCTAGCTACACAACGCATCTTTCTCCTCTTTTGCTCATAAAAAGTATTACTAAAAAAAAATTCTACTTTTCTTTGGTGGGCACACATTTACCTATTTACCTCCAAGAAAGGAGGGAAAAATGTGCAAAATTAGCAGGTGCTTACGCCACTGTTCCTGATTATGCCGATCCGGTGTGTTTAAGTCAAGAAGCACGCCTTATCCAGGTCTGGGTCCTCACTGGGCTCTGCAGAGGGGCTTTTAAGAGCCCCCGAGCCGGGCTGTGCATGGGCTGCCCCCAAGGCTTCGCGTGACAAGCCGCAGAGCTGGTGGGAGCTCATGATTGTGACAACCAACGACAGCCGATATTCGGGATAGGTTCCTAGGAAGTCTGAAGCTACCATGACCAATTTGCAGACAAAAAAAAAGTAACAAATCAAATGACGGCTCTGGCGCCGTGAGTCTCGCCAGCCTGGGGCATCAGGAAGCACCCGGCTTAGTGGGGCTGTCGAGACTCAAACTGAGGAGGGTGAGCGGGAGTGAGAGACCCCAGGTGAGGACAGAAGTCACCACAGAGGAGGAAGGAAAGGGATTAGTACAGGTTAGAGGGCGGCACGGCCGGGCCAGGCAGCTCAGTCGTGGCAAAGGTCTCCCGGTGCTCCTCCCGGGGGAGGCATGGCAGAGCCCAGCGCTGCAGCTGTCGCCCAGCCTGTGCCACGACCCCTGCTAAGTCTCACGGGGCCAAATGGGGGTTGGGAAGCTGCTTACTCCCTTTTTCCTTCTTCAGATGGAGCTGGTCAGCTGCCAGAGAGGCCGACCAAAGGGCAGGACCTGAGATGGGGCCCCTGCTCAGAGGGACAGGAGAGAAGAGCCTGGCAGGAGTGTGGCCAGGCGTCTGTCTGCTGTGGTCTCTTGTGCAGTGGGACCTGGCGGCACAGCCCAGGGAACTGGGAAGGACCAGGGCAAGGGGAAGACACCCTTTCCCAGGGGCTGCAGGGCCCATCGTTCCTTTCTCCTTTCCTTTCCAACATATTCCCTTTAGGAATGGCCTTGACAGGGAAGAAAACTAGGACCCGTGCCATGACAGTTTGCCTTCTGGCTTCCCCAGACCATGGCCAGTGGGGCCTGGCAGCATCCCAGCAGCAGGTGGGGCTTGGCAGTCACCTCTGGGTCCCTTGCAAGTCTTACGCAGACAAGTCGGTCACATTTACTGCTTGGACACACGCTGGATCTACACCACTGGCTATGATTTTTATGAGAACTCTTTTGTGATGATATTATTGCTCATAAAAGAGAAAAAGTTGCTGAAAGCCCCCTGACCTTCTATCATGGATGCAAATAATGGCACTTTGGCTGTCGGCAGCACTGCCCCTTCTCTTCTCTGCATGCCGCCCGCTGCACCCAGGGGGAGAGCAGCCCAGCACAACGGTGAGGACTGACTTCCTGCAAGCCTCCACCCAACGCTGACAAACTATTGAGGGCTGCCACTGAGGGGACTCCAGGACGCCAGAAGTGGTATGAGAATGGACCCACAACCTCATGACTCTCTTCCTTACACCTGGAGCTAAGTGCCGCCTCTTCACAGAGCCCCTTATCTGGACCCCAAAGCCAAGAAAGGAAGAAATGCCCACATTGCAGCTGTGCAGTGACTGCCTTGAGGCTTCCAGACTCCTTAAGAAGGTCAGGAGGTGGCCACAGGGGAACCAGGAGAGTGGCTTTAGTCTAGCCAAGCCAGCAGCTTCAAAGCTCCCAGAGAAGGAGCTTTGGGCAGGCTGGGAGGTGGTGGAGGGCGTGGGAAGAGGGCAGATGAGAGCCAGGGCTGAACCAAGCAGAGATGACCTGAGGCCAGGCAGCAGCCTGCTGGCCTGGGGCGGAAGGCAGACCTGTCTCCTCACTCGGCACAGTACGCTGTCACTGCATCACCACCTATGAAAAGCTGGCCCTGTCTGGCCCAGCTGGGTTAGGGCGCCCTATTGACCACCATATCACCACGCCTGTGGCCCCCAGATGGGAAGGGCATCCCCAGTGCCTAGTGGAGTGCCCAGCAAGGAGCGGTGTGTGAGGAGGGGCCATCACAGGGGATGGAAGGACTCATGACAAAGGCAGCCTCTCAGTCAAGGCTGCGGGGCCCCATTCCTGGCATGACCTGCCGTGGATGCCCCAAGACTGGAGGGAGGACTTGTGTGTGCATGAGGAAGACCCAAGTGTCACTGCAAAGGAAGGAACTGTCCCCTGCACATGGGGGGCCCGAGCAGCCCTCTCAGCAACACGGTCCCTGGTCGTCCCCGGCCCCGGGTGCAGAGGTGGGGGCAGGGCTGCCTGCTTACCGTCTCGTCCGTGCAGATGGAGTGCACCTGGGTCCCGAACATCACCGACGTGAAGATGAGGAAGAGCAGCCCCTCAAAGCACAGCAGGATGAGGAGGATCACCGTGGTAGGTGGTGAGAAGGAGCTGCACTCTGAAAGAGAAGGAACACGCGGGGCTCGGGGCTGCCACCTGCCGCCCCAGCTCACTGCCCCACCTGGGCTCCCACTGTGCCTCCAGGCCCCGGTGGGGATCACCCTGCCCCACCCCAGGTCCCCACTCCCTCAGGGAGGCCTCCTCAGCAGCCGGGCCCAGCAGCGCCTCCCTGTCCCTAACATAAGCATTCTTTGCTCACTGTCCCTGGTGCTAAGCACAGTGCCCGGCACATGGACGGGCTTAGGAAGGACTCTTTGCTGAGGCATGAAGGCCTGATGACACCAAAGGGCCCTCCTGTCCTCCGAGAGTGCGACGCGGCACACAAGCGAAGAGGCCGGCACAGTCCGCATGTGGGGCTTTCTGGGCATCCCTACGCGGGGCGCTGCCCTCCCTGTGCCTCCACCTGCTCACAGGCCAGAGGGAAGGGCAGGTGTGGCGGATCATTGGTGGCTGTGGGATTTGAAGCTTGGCGGGGGGGGGGGGGCGGTCTCACTGCTGGTGCTCAGCCCTGACCACAGAGTGAGTAATGCCTTCTTCAGGAACATCTGCATCACTGAGACCCTTAACCCTGAAGGCTGAGAGCCAACTGGAGAGGTGCTGCACAGAGTAGGTGCTTTTACAGTCCTGCTCCCTTCCCGTGAGCCCACCCTAATCTGACGTGTGACCTGAGACAAGTCCCCACCCTCTTCCAGGCCTCCACCCCTCCACTGTAAAGCAGGTTTTTTTGTGTTTTTTTTTTGACACAGTCTCACTCTGTTGCCTGGCTTGAGAGCCATGGCGTCACCCTAGCTCACAGCAACCTCGAACTCCTGGGCTCAGGTGATCCTCCTGCCTCAGTCTCCCGAGTAGCTGGGACTACAGGCATGCGCCACCATGCCCGGCTCATTTTTTCTATATATTTTTAGTTGGGCAACTAATTTCTTTCTAATTTTAGTAGAAAGGGGGTCTCGCTCTTGCTCAGGCTAGTTTCGAACTCCTGATCTTGAGAGATCCTCCCTTCTTGGCCTCCCAGAGTGCTAGGATTACAGGCGTGAGGCACTGCCTGGCCAAGCAGCGAGTTTTGACTAGAGGTGTGATTTGATTTAAGTAGTAGAATCCTTTGTCTAACAAAGTCTACATCAGGACCCAGCCCATGGAGGCAGAAAGCAGAGGTGCTGTGGAGATGGGAGGGGTGAGCAGGGAGGGAGCCCTGGAAGATGTGGACCACACCCGGGCAATGGATGGCCCAGCTGGTGGCGCCGGAGGCAGAGGCTAGGCCCCTTGGTCAGCACTCTTTACCCAAGGACTCTTGCCCTCGAGTGTAGCTGCCGGGCTGGGCAAGCCGGGGTTGTGTCTGTTTCTCTTGCTCCCCTGCTCAGGCCAGTAGCCCTGGCTGGGCAGGACAGACCCTGGAGGGCAGAGTCGGGCTTCTGGCTTTGGGACTTCAGGGAGTAAGTGCCCCCTCTGAGCTGCCCTGCTGGCTCCCTCACAGGAGTGGCAGGAGGGGCACAGGAGGCCAAATGTGAGCACCATATAGGTGGTAGAGTAAGAAGCATCTAACTAAAATGCTTTTGTTTCCTCAGGTTTCCCTGGGAACCTGGTTCCTTGCTGGGCAGGGCTTAGTCAGGGTGGCCCACCAGCCTCCTGGGCTGGTCCTGGGTGGCTGCCAGTATGGCAGCTGCTAGCTGGCCTCAGGCTCGGCACAGTGCTGGGAAGAACTAAGGCTCCGAAGTCTGGCGGACAGGGCAGGGCATGAATCCTGGCACCAACTCCTGAGCATGAGCTGTAATGATGATGGCCCCACGAATAGTCTGCTCCTGCCCCTGTCTTTCCTAGCCTTTGTGTCGTAAAATTACCTGTTTCTTTCTGTACTTGTTTGGTATTTGCCTCTCCCACTACACTTCAGACTCCAGGAGGACAGGAACTTTGTTTTGCTCAGTGCTGTACAACCAGCCTTGGAACAATGCCTGACAACAAAATCTGGGCAAGCGGTTTGGGCTTTCTGAGATTTCGTTTTCCCTTCTGTACTGGGGAATGATTAAGAATTCACGAGAGAACATCTGCCCAGCTCAGCCTAGGCCCAGCATGAGCACACTGGGGCGCTTGCTGGATGGAAGCACTTGCACCCTCCTTACCTGCCTCGGTTGCCCTGGAGCTAGAGGCAGAGCCCAGGGCCATGGCCTGTTCTCCCTCCCTGCAAAGCTGTAAGCATCCTTCCCCTCCTGGGCTGGGCCCCAGGAATTACAAATGGAGTTTGGGGAGCAGGAACCAGATCCAGGGAATGTGGAACCACCCCCTACCCTTCTTCACACATCACCTCATCCTGGGGGGGGGGGCACTGCTCGCGCCCTCTCACACAAGGTCCTGTGGCCCAATAGCTCCAGCAGGCCAGCAGTGATGGCAGTAACTGTCACATACGGTCAACTCTCAGGCCTGCACTTTGGGGACCACCCTGTGCCTTCCCAGCCTAACTGCCATAGTAGCTGGGTGCCTGAAACCCAGGAATCTTGACTGAAGACAATCAAGAGCATGGCTGGGAGGACCCTGGCCATTGGCGCCAGCCAGACAGGGCTGGAAACCTTGCTCCACACCCAGGCTTGAATTGCAGCCCTCTTCTTAGCTGAGTCATCTTGGGAACTTGCTCAACCTCTGTGAGCCCCAGCTTTTGTCAAATGCAAAGTGGGGAGTGCTTTCCTACTCTGCGGACTTGCCCTAATAAGGGCAAAACAAAGCAGTGCTCAAAAAGCCCTTTGTGCCATGTCTGCCTCCTAGTAGGTATTAATAAAATGGTCCCTGCTGGCACCATTCCAAAGGCAGGGACACTGTGCCTCATTGACAGTCTGTGTTACTCCCATTATCGGCCAAGTCTGTTAACCTAATGACAGGTGGGAGGCATCTTGGATGGTGGAATATGCTTGTTAGACTCCCCCATCAAGTGGCCAAGGCCACATGTGGAGCTGATCTGGCTCCCCAGGGCCCGAATGAACTTTCAGGATGTTCACAAGCCAGCAGGAACTTGCTGGTGGCTCACCCAGCTATGCAGTGGTAAATTCTGCAGATACCCACTTGCCCCACCTTTCTCTCCCCTCCCCAACGTCCACTAGCTTGATTTCCCTCACTGTGGCTTATGCTGGAACTGTGGCAAGAAAATGCTGAAGTCAGTGTGTACAGGAAGAGCAACAGTTCTAAAGACGGTGAAAAGAAAAAGGGGACCTGCTGAGGGAAAAACAGAGGAAATGCGATGGTCCTTGCTCGGGGACGTTTGTCTCACAGATTGTGAGTATGGAAGATCTAGCCCAGCATCTTCCAGCACCTATTTTTTTCCTTCAGGATTTGTGTAATCTTCTGGTTGGAACTCCTTCCTCAGCATTTGCACATTTAAATGAGATACTTCTAAAAAGAATGAATTTGTCTCTAACCTTAATGTAAATTAATGACTATCAATATAAGCTATGAGCAAGGGTTAAAAAACCACCACTACAAAAACCAAATTAACAACAACAAAAAACTCCATGTCCTAGCCAGAAAGTTAAAAATGGATCTCTACAAGATTGGGAAAAAAATGACCTTTGATTAAAGTGCCTGGCTTAAAGACACAGAAGCAAAAGGTCTCTCCCAGCATGGCTGCCCCTCATCAGAACTTGCCTCTGGGCCTGCGTGGTGCTTGCACTCTCCCTGGGCACACTCAGCCCAGACTTACTACTTTACCTGTCAAACTGACTTTAAGGAACTGCATTTTTTCATGAAGAGAGATTCGGCCCTCTGCTGTTCCTTTCCTGTTCAGTCCATAGGCTTGCAGGAGATCTAACAAAATGAGGTTGGCCCCTGGAACCATGAAGGAAGCCAAGAGCCTCCCTGCCCCCCCACTTGGGTCACACACCCACCCTGGAGCAGGGAGGGAAGCCCTGGCACATACTCACTTGTCCAATCTTCTTCAAAGCAATGCAGGAAGTGGAATCCCACCATGATGAGGGCGTGCAAGGAAATGAGAGCTATGTACATCTGAAACAGGAAAGCAGTGCAGACACCATTGTTGTGAGAACCCTCTGACCTCACAAGCTCCTGGGACAGGGGCTCGCGGAACCTCCCACTCAGGAATACTGAATTAGGCTGAGGCTGACCAGGAGGGGCAAGAGCAGCACCTGGTGATGCCCCCCAGGGTCCCTCCGCTCAGCCCTGGCTCTGAGGTGAGCAGCCATCCCTGGCAGGGTGTGGACCAGAAATGAAACAAAGCCCAGTCACTAGGCAGTCTGGGCTGCCTGGGGGGCTCCACACATGCTGCTTCTTGAAAAGTCAGGGTGCTGACGCCGACGGCCCCTCCAGTCCTCGTGCTAAATAAACTCCACTTATTGGCAATGTGGGATTTGAAGTCATCACCAAAATTACCTTCTTGAGCCACTTAGGTCCAACACTTGAGATAGGAACCCAGAACACAGTCTTTGCTCATAGCTAATCGACTTGAATCAATGCTCTAAATGCTCAAGTGAAGGGCTCAGGAGCGGGCACTTTGTTGAGCCAGGGAGGCCTTTGGCAGGAGGGTGGAGATCTACGGGGCCAGGCAGTGCTCTCAACAGCAGCAAAGAACATCGTCAATGCTGAGAGTTTTCAAAGGAACAAAGTGCCCCACTGCTTCACGAAGGGCAAGGCAGAGTTCGGAAGCTGACTTACTGTAAACAGGACGAAGTACTTCTGGTTGTTCTCGCCGACGCAGTTATTGACCCAGGGACAGTGGTGGTCCATCTTGCGAATGCACCGCTTACAAACACTGAAACAACCCACAGGTCAGAGCTTTAGGGTGACCTTGCAGTGCTGGGAGGGCCCCCAGGGCACACACGACCCACAGCTCCAGCTCCGCTCCTCTGGAATGGCTACCTGGGGCACTGCCAGCGGTTTTGCTGGGTGTGTGTTGCAAGGGGCCAGGAAGGCAGGGTCAGGACCCCTAGGGCTGCAGTCATTCCAAAGGGGACACAGTCGTTCCCTTTCAAGGCCTCTTATCTTGTTTAACATATAAATAGGATAGAACTGACATGGCTGAGACAGAGGCTGCTCTCCTGAGGTAATGTAGAGCTTAGAATTTGGTTTACTGAGGAAAAAGAATGAAGAAGTATTTTGGAAAACTTGACCTAACAGGCTGATACAGAAAATAGCTGCTGATTTTCCCTAAAGACCAAGCAACCACGGAAAGGGATGTTCCAGATGCACCATCATGTGCTACCAGGGAGGGCATGGCACCTCTACCCTAGAGCGACAAAGGAAAGAGGAGAGGGCTATTCCAGAGCAAGGTCAAGGACAGGAGGAAGGGCCAGGTGTGGTGGCTCACACCTGTAATCCCAGTGCTCAGGGAAGCCAAGGTGGAAGGATCACTTGAGGCCAGGTGTTCTAGACCATCCTGGCAACATAGCAACACCCTGTCTCTATTAAAATCATTAAAAATAAATACATACATAAATTAAATAAAATTTTCCAGGTGTGGGAGTGCACACCTATAGTGCCAGCTACTTGGGAGACTAAAGGAGGAGGATCACTTGAGCCTGGGAGTTGCAGGTTGCAGTGAGCTGTGATCGTGCCACTGTACTCCAGCTTGGGTAACAGAGAGAGACACTGTCTCAAAAAAAAAACAAACCAAAACAAAAATAAATAAACCAAAAAAAGGACAGCAGGAAGCCCAGCTCCCAGAACCTTTTGGCTCTAAGATAACATCCATTGTGCCAAGAAAAAGCAGAAAAATCATTTGAGCTTAAGTGCCTACCAGATAATCTCATTAGTTTGCATATATCTAACTTGTTATTGTGATAATTTGGGGGCTGAGACTGTTTCAAGCTTATTTGATAGCAAACACCACCCCTCCCCCACTTTGGACAATCCAAAGTAATGATATGAAACATGACCGATGGTGGTGTGAAAGCAACTGCTTTCCAAAACTAGTTTAGAAAGACTCATTTGCCAACAGATATGCTTATCAAAAATCATTCTTTTTGTCAATTCATTATTTTAATGAATTTTAGGCTCCCTATATTTGGGATGTTATTTGTTCAAAACAGTTTGAAATATAAGTACAAGCTTAGAAAGAATATAATTAGATTTCCTTTTTAAAACTTCCTTAGTTCACACCAGCTTTCCTCTCTACTAGTTTCCAAAACTAACTTTATCTTAGGTTCTTAAAAAAGTACACATAGGGCAATGGCAGGCAGAGCCTGCAGGCCGGGCCGGGCCTCAGGGCCTTCCCGGTCACACTCACACCACGGTGCTGGCTAGCCTCTTGCGGACCATCTGGAAGGGGAAGGAAAGCACAGGAGCGGCTCTGCTGGGCTGCAGGTGTGCTGCTGTCTGGACTCCAGGGCCGGCAAGCACGGACCGCTCTGAAGGAGTCCTCCAGGGCAGGGCACACTCACTACCCAAGGAGGAGATGTGGCAAAAACTGTGGGGGCAATGCAGACCTGGGTCTGCTAAGCTACCTCAGTCAAACTGGCTAGACCCCAAGCCTTCAGGTTTCCCATCTGTATGAAGTACTGTAAGGAATACATGTGGACAGACACTGGGCCTGGCGTGGACAAGTGGTGGATTCGTTCTGGTCTTTACCCTTGCTCTTCTCTACCATGGCAAAGGGCCTTGCTAACACAGGCATGTCAGGAATGGTCACATCTCAGAGATGCAGGCGAGGCTCCAGAATCTCCCGGGGGCCAGGAGGGCGAGGTAAGAAAAGGAAGTATGAAAGGGACATGGAGGGTGACAGAGAGAAAGCCAGGGACCAGCAACTCCATTACCCAGTCTCTGTCTCTCTGCTTCTCTATCTTTCTATTACCAACACACAATTTTAAAAGTACAGACAGCTTGGCCAGGCAGTGCCTCACACCTGTAATCCTAGCACTCTGGGAGGTCCAGGCCGGTGGATTTCTTGAGGTCAGGAGTTCAAAACCAGCCTGAGCAAGAGAGAGACCCTGTCTCTACCAAAAATAGAAAAATTAATTGGCCAACTAAAAATATATAGAAAAAATTAGCCGGGCATGGTGCCACGTGCCTGTAGTCCCAGCTATTTGGGAGGCTGAGGCAGAAGGATTGCTCCAGCCCAGGAGTTTGAGGTTACTGTGAGCTAGGCTGATACCACGGCACTCACTCTACCCTGGGCAACAGAGTGAGACTCGGTTTCAAAAAAAATGATAAATAAAAGTATGGATAGTGAAAAGTGAGCTGCTCCCAGCATCGTAGCTAGGCCTCAGCCACCAGGTATCATGCTTCCTCCATGGGGTCACTCACCATAGCCAGTTTCTTGCATGTTCTTCCTGAGACCATCAGCTCTAGAATTTCTCAATCCCCTCCCTACCTGGGGAACAAATTCCTGAGGGTAACCACCTCCCTGATCCAGGCTCCTGAGGAGTTTCTCTTCCATTTGCACTTATTGTTCAAAGGGTTTTCAAGGGGGTGCTCTTGAGGCAGTGTTGGCTGAGTGGCCAGGAAGTGCCAAGTGGCTGGACATCCTCTGAAAGCTGCCCACAAGTTTAAACAAGCTCTCACAGCAAAGCCGTCCTTTGCTCCCCTCCCGGCCTCTCTGAAGGGACAAGGCACGAATACCAGGAAGCTGGGTTTCCCAATGGGCTGGGTCTCATTGGGCATCCAAATTAGAAAAATACACATCATTTAGGGTGAAGGGAAAGTAAGTACAGCCCGCTGAGGGCTGCAAGAGTTGGTCTAAAATGCTGGTCCCTGAGTTTCCTGTTTGCAAAGATATGAAATGTACGCTGACACTCCTCTCCCTGGGCCAGGTGCTGGCGGATAGAAAGTGGGGTGAGGCCAGTGGCTGGAGGCACTGCTCAGAGGTGACTTGCTCACAGGAGGCTCAGCCAGAATGGCCTGGGGCTGGAGCTTGGAGCAGCCAAGGGCAAGGCCTGGAGACAGGTCCCAGAATGGGGCAGAGAAGGACACTCCACACCCCACCCTGCTGTTTCACCTCAGGCACCATCTGTCACAGGAGGAAGAAAAGATATGGGCCTCCCCCAACAGCCTGACACCCCACGTAGTCACGGGGAATCAATCACCTCAGAGGCAGCCCTCTTCCCAGCTCTCAACGGCACACATGTGGGCAGGAAGCTTGGCCATGTCCCCTCCCAGACACAGCAGCCCAAGCAATGGCCAAGGAAGGCTCAGCACTCACACGGACTGGGAGCCTGTCCAGCCTCCACACACACCAGCAGTCACCTTCCCTGCTTTGGCTGTGGATGGCCCAGTGCTTGAGGGCCCTTTCTTTCTTTTTTTTTTGAGACAGAATCTCACTTTGTTGCCCGGGCTAGAGTGCCGTGGCGTCAGCTTAGCTCACAGTAGCCTCAAACTCCTGGCTCAGGCGATCCTCTTGCCTCAGCTTTCTGAGTAGCTGGAACTACAGGCATGCACCACCATGCCCAGCTAATTAATTTTTTCTATGTATTTTTAGTTGTCCAGCTAATTTCCTTCTATTTTTTTAGTAGAGATGGGGGTTTCCGCTCTCCAACCCTAATTCCAGACCTTGAGCGATCCTCCTGCTTGGGCCTCCCAGAGTGCTAGGAATACAGGCGTGAGCCACCACGCCCAGCCCCGAGGGCCCTTTCTCTACCCTTTCCACTTGGCCAAATCCACCCTGTTCTCTGAGGCTCCTTCCTTGTCTGGCTTTCCTTGCGCTTGTACGTGGCCATCTCCTGGCATTCCTTTCCGGCACTAATTCCAGAGCTGGCGAGCTCCTGGGGCACAGGGACTGACTGTGCAGTAACAGTCACTCAAAGACCAAATGCCCCAAATGGAGGTGATTTTTTGTGTGTCCTACCCTTCCAAGTTTCCCAGGCCCCTTCTTTGTTTCTAAATCATTGTTTTATAAGGCGGCAGGTGTTTCTCTTTCCTTCTTCCTCCAGGTTCCCTACCCTTTTTCTGGAGCTCATATGCATTGATTCTCTGGGGCTTCTGTGTACTCTCCAGGGAGGTATGAGGGCCTTTACGTGGGAGTCGGCCCCCAAGGAGCTGGCTGAGGCTCTCTTGCCCTTCCTGGGTGATGGCTCGGCACAGAAACAGCCACGTCCCATGGGGACTCTGTGTCTCTCCCTACAGCAGCACGTACCAAACTGTACATGGTGGAGGAGTGCGCCTGCCCTGTCTAGGGGGAAGGCTCCTGGGGTCAGGGTCACATCGAATCCACCTCTAGAAGCCCAGAGCCAAACCCAGGGCCCTGCTTAGCCAGGGGCAGCTGCATGAAGGCCTCCACACTTCAGACAGGGAAAGAGCGAGCCTGGGAAATGAGCTCAATCGCGTCAGACTAGGATGCTCCAGCAGGGAAAATAAAAAGAAAACAGCAAGAAGGTACTACACATGTAAGTTTTCATTTTACACCTCACAGGCTATGACTACAATTATCAGCAAAAAAGACATCTACACCACATTCTGGCTCCAGCTCAGGAACGGTTTTGGGAAAGACAGTGCAGTGGAGACAACAGGGGATCTGAGGGCAGACCCTCACTTTGGGCTCTGGGCAAAGAAACTTAGGTTCTCCGGAGCAACCTCAGCAGGGGTACCCTGATCTCTCAGGGTTGTTGAGAGCAGCAAATAATGTATGTAAACTGCTTAAGAAACAATACCCGTATTACATAAATTTTATAAGTAATCATAACTATGAGAAAGACCAAACAAGGGGAGGAGCCAAGCAACCCATACCTGTCTCAGCCTCAGTGTGTGTGTGGGGGGGAGGGACGTGGGCCTTGCTAAAGTCAGAGGTCTCCACCCCCACCCCACAAGAAGAACCTAAAGCCCTGCCTTGGCATCTGCATTTGTGTGCAAACTGTCTCAAACTCTATGGACTCTGCTGGGCAGAGAGGACCCAAACAGCTGGGCACAAGCACATGGGTGCACACATGCACCTTTGCCCGAGTGGGCAAGACTGACATTGATTTTCTCTAACCAGGCAGGCAGCCTGCCTCTGGGCTCAACCAACCATGAATAAACCCAGTCTGCCTAGTCTGCTGGGGATGCTACTTATTCAAAACCGTGGGTCCCCAGATGGACTGGGCCACCGTGTGCCACCACAAAGGAGAAGTTGTCAGCATACATTCTGAGGCAGGGACAGGCAACTCACAGGCATCCTCACTTGAGTTCATCTGAATCAGCACATCTTGTTTTGCTCAAGCTGATGTGTTTACTAGCACACAAGAATATCTCCCTTGGATCATCCCGGGGAGAGAGGAAAGGAGGAGGCGGTGAGGAAAATGCCAGGCAGTGGAGGCAGCCGAGGGCTCATGGAGGGAAGAGAAAAGAACCACTGTGATCGCCCGAAAGTTCTTTTCTACACAGTTAACACCTCCCTGCTCTGGTCCAGCCTTTATAAACCCAAAACACCCCTCACGCCTTACACACGCTTCTACTAACGAGTAGCTTCCAGTTGTTGAGCTAGGTGACTCACATAGTTACTCATATTTAACCTTCACGACAAGCTGGGGAGGAAAAGCTCTTTTTACAGAGGAGAAAGCTGAGGCTCAGAGAGAGGCAGCACCTTGCCTGAGGTCCCACAGTGTGGCAGGGGACAGCACTGGACTCCAACCCTGCCCTCTGTAAGTTCAAGGAGAGCGGCCCACCACACTGGCCTATGCTGAGGCACTGCATAAGCAAGCTGGGCCTTTTTATCCAGGTGATGCTTACTCAGAAAACAGGGGGCTCCTGAGCCCTCGGGTGGCAGGAAAAGGCTAGACTGACACCCCTATCTCAGGCACAAGAAGCAGGACCTGAATTAGATCTCAGAAGCAAGCTGACTCAGAGACAGGAACCCCCCAGGAGGTAGCGATCACCACCAGCCCTGCCCAAGCTCCTCAGCACTCGCCCTCAAGCAGGCAGCAACCAGCTGGGGAGGTCTGCAGATCTCTTTCAGAGAGACAGCAAAACATAAATACAATTACATAAAGTTATATGAGTCACCCCTAAACTGGAGTTCTAGTGGACAGAGCCCTGTCTGAACTTAAAGCCAGAACCACTGTGACCCAATCCTGTCTTTAGCAGTTACCGCCTATGGGACCTTGGAGCAGTCACTTAACCCTTTGAGCCTTAATTTCCTCATCTAGGGAGGTTGTCCCTGTAGCCATACCTATCCCAGGGGTGACCAGGAAGATGCAAATAAGATGACTGAGGATGAGGCAGGGCAGGCTGCAGCGCCTGGGACGAGGCAGGGACCAAGGAGCTGACCATGGGATCTGAATGCTGGAGACTGAGGACTCTCCTCCAAGAGGTGGGCCGATTTTTAGCTGCTCAGATCTCTCCCACCCAATGTCTCCACAGCCTTGGCCTAAGAAGGATCGCTCACCTCCAACACCTGGAGCAAGTTCTTTCCTCCACAACCCCTCCCCACCCCAAACACACACCACAGTCTGAAAAGGAGACCAAGTGACGTTTGCATATTTCTGTAATTTAGCATTTAAAATTCCCTTATAATGATAAAGCACAACTTTTAGCTAGATGCGTTCTTATCAGGAAGACTTAAAACAACAAAGAAACTGAAAACAAAAAGGGAAAACTCACCACAGCTAGGATGGGGAAATGACTTTTTCAGTTGATTTCTGCAATGCTCATAACCTCTAGGAGTTTTGTTTAAAGAGAAAGCCTGCATCCAAGGGCAACCCCTTCAAGTACTAGATGTTCACAGAATGATTTTTAAAGTTTTGTCTACGGTACCCTTGTGATAAAGCTGTAAGGTAGGAAAAGCGGGAATCCCCTCAATTTTACATATGTCAAAATAAAGGAGGGGACAGCCAAGGGCCTGCCCAAGTCCTACATCAGATGTGGCAGAATCAAGTCCTGGAACAGGTATCCTGTTGGAATACCTGTGGGCACACCCAATGCGCTTTCCTGCTAGTGGGGGACGTGTGTGCGTGCAGGGGGCATGGGGTGGAGGGAGGCAGGGTGGTGGGAGGAGAGAGGAGGTGAGCCCCAGCAAGTGTACCTGCAATGGTGGGCTCGGTCGGGCTTGATGCTGCAGCATTTGGGACACTTGTACACCACCTGCCCGGGCTTCAACTGTAAACTCTCGATGAATTCTTTAGTGGCATTTCCTTTGGGCACTGCCCCCTGTAGGAAAGACGAAAGGCATCAGGGTTGGGCCGAGGGCTCAATCGGTTCTAATGTTCTATAGTGGAGAAAAGCAGCAACCACACACACACACACACACACATGGACAGGACATTTTGGTACCAACATGTGGAGTCTTGAGTTCTGAATTATGCCAACATCAAGGAATATTTATTGATCACGAATTTTCCTGAGGGAATGCCATTAGGCTATATTAATCCCTTAATTTTCTACACTGAACAGTTACATTGTTCTTGATTATTTTCAATTTGCTAATATCATCTTCATTGAATCCATTCTTTCCTAGATAAATATTATAATGAGGATTTGACTCACTGACTATTTTTTGGTCTACATTAAATGTCCTGGTAACAGCTTCTCCCTTTCTGAGTTTTCATCGGTGAGCACCATATCTAACAGTCCAGTTTTCCCAGATCAATATTTGCAGCTCCACATTTTAATGGGTTGTGTTTACTGGGATCAAGTTTTATTTTATTTTATTTTTTTTACCAGTACTGTTGTTATGAAGGCTTGGTAATCTATATTTAGTTCTTAGTGAATCCACAAACGACTGGGAGCCATTGCCCTCAGTTATTAATACTTGACTTGCTGTCCAGAACTGCTTTGATCTGCTCTCCAATCCTGTTAGCACGCCTGTGAATACTTTGCGTTTGTTGGAACCAACAGCAGAACAAAAATGCCATAAGAATCTGTTCTTGCTGCGCACTCATCCAAACAGAAGGAAAACAGGGCTAAGCAGGATCTCGACAACCAACCTTCACTAAGCACCTACTTGGTGCTGAGCCCTGTGCTCCCACCTAATTGCTGTGGACTCAGGAATCAAAGGTCTCTGCCTCCAGAAGGCTTGTGGTCTTTTGCAGGCTAACAAGCAATTCGAGTAAAAGGGGTTGCATGCGGCAGAAGACATTTGTGTGGAGGGAGCACAGAGGAGGCAGCAGCAAATTAACCAGGAGAATTGGAATGTGCAGAGCCTTGCTAGGTAGGCCTGTGAGAGAAAAAAAGGATTCCAGCACAGGAGGGGCATGGGTAAAGGCAGAGAGGTGAGGGTGAGCATGGCATATCTGGGAGATGATGAGAAGATTGGTGTGCTGAGCCTAGGGTATGTAGTATTAGCAGGGAGGCCGGACTGATGGGCAGGGGCCAGCTGTGTAGAGCACTGAATGCTAGTCCCAAAGGTTGGGGTGAGATTTTCTTTACAGGCAGCCCAGAGCCATTAGATAACACTGGTGCTTTGGGAAGAAAGCCTGGTTGCTTGCGCTGTCTAGGTCAAATAAGAAAAGGAAGAGATTAAAACCCTGGACACTACTTAGGAGGTTATTGTTGATGGTTAGTAAGGAAGGACTGAACTATGAGGATAGTAGAGAGAAAATTCAGAGATCTGAATCTATAAAATGTGTGGGGAACCAACTCAATATGGTGGTGGTGGAGGGGGTGACGAAAAAGCAGCTTGTAAATGGGCCCCACCTGCCCAGCCACCTGGGCCCATCTCTCAGAGCCAGAGAGCAGCTGGGCCAGCCTGCAGACTGAGGAGTCTGCGACACATGAGCTGTCAGTCTCTGCCTAGACCGACTTTCTTTTCTTACCTTTCCTTCCTTCCTTCCCTTCCCTTCCTTCTCTCTCTCTTTCCTCCCCTTCCTTTTCCTTCCTTTCTTTTTCTTTTTTTTCTTTAAGGATATTATGCTCTTCTGGGCTCATCTCCACAGATGAACTAAGAACTCCTGGTTATTAGTTCATGGTAAAGAACTTTACTCTGCGCAATCTTGGACAGATGGCAGGGTTGGAGGCCTGCTGAGACATTTTTGCCACTGCTGTCCCACTGGCACTACTGAGACACACCTAGTCCTCCCATTCTTACACACTTTACAGGGATGTCTCAAAGATTACACATTACTGCAGCCTGGCAGATCCAAATGTACTGATTTTACTAAGCAAGTAATACTTGTTCATGATTTTTTTTTTTTTTTTTTGAGACAGAGTCTCACTTTGTTGCCCAGGCTAGAGTGAGTGCCCTGGCGTCAGCCTAGCTCACAGCAACCGCAAACTCCTGGGCTCAAGTGATCTTCCTGCCTCAGCCTCCCAAGTAGCTGGAACTACAGGTATGCACCACCATGCCCGGCTAATTTTTTTTCTATGTATATTAGTTGGCCAATTAATTTCTTTTTTTTAATTTATAGTAGAGACGAGGTCTCGCTCTTGCTCAGGCTGGTTTGGAACTCCTGACCTTGAGCAATCCGCCCGCCACAGCCTCCCAGAGTGCTAGGATTACAGGTGTGAGCCACCACGCCCGGCTGTTGTTTGTGATTTTTAAGAAAGAAAATATAGATGAAAAAAATGAAAAAGGGAAAACTCACTTTTTGATCACCCAAGATGAGTACTACTAACATTTGGAAGCATATTCTTTCAGTCCTTTCTCTTTGTACACAGTAAGCTAGAAACACTTTCAAAAGTCTATAGATCCATAAAAATGGATCATATAGCTACCAAAATATATATTTGGCCCCATAATGGAATCAGTTTAAATCTAGTTTAAAAGAAGTAAGTAGAAGCTGTTAAAGCTTTTCTGCTCTGGCTATGGCAGAATTCTTTCTCCTTCCAGCCTCTCTGCACAGAGCTCTGAGTTCCTAGTGGGGAAGGAATGTAGTATGTATGTATACGGGTACGTGTGTGTGTGTGTGTGTGTGTGTGTGTGTACGCACATGCATGTGCATTTGGGTGGTAGGGGTAGGGTATGATGTGCCTCCATCAACCATTCCCCTTAGTGGCTAGCCCAAACTTCTAGTACCTTCAACCCAAGCCCACTCTCTTTCTGATTTCAGAGAACACTGAGCATGCTGGAGCTAAATGCCTTGCACATTCCTCACCTCCTTGGACCCGCCAGTCCCCACTGTCTTGGAAGACTAGGCTCCCAGCTGACTCTGGCTCTCAGAGACCCCTGACTATTACCTCTGAGCTTAGCCCTGGGTTCTTAGCCAACTAACTCCACATTCTCCCCTCCCCTTCGTAGCTGAGCTCTTGAAGCACTGCGTGTTTAATGTCTCTGCTCACCTCCCACTCTTTATTTCACTGCTTTCTGGCACCTGTCCCCCCAACTGTTCTCGACAGGCCATTGAGCAACTCCCTGTGGCCAAATCCAAAAGCCAACCCTTAGCCTTCATCTTCCTTGGAGTTTCCTCACTGACCAGTCCCTCCTTCCTATCTGGGGAGCTGTGCCTCACCCCTCTGTGCTTGTGACCCCACCCATCCTGGTCACTGGTGTTCACCAGGGTTCTACCTGCAGCCTTATTCCCTGCTCATGCTGCACACTGTCCTGGACAATCTTTCCTATAATCTGTACTTCCTCTATCATCACTTAGTGATGATGCTCAAATTCCTAGATCCAACTCGAACCTCTTCTGGATCTTCAGATATGTCTACCTGGCTATCCCAGAGGTATCACACACAGCTAAAACTGAACCCACTACTTTCTCCCTGAACTGTCATCCCAATTCTCCCTTTCCTGGGTGATGACCCATCCATCTACTCTGTCATCGGAGTAGAAATACAGTAGTCATCCCCAATTCTTAACCCTCTGCCCCACACCCTTCCCACTCTACCAGGTTAATTTCACTCAAATCCGTGCCTTGAATTCTATGTGTGCAGCTCTCCCTGCCAGCTACTGCCATGCCTTAGTTCAGCCCCATCATCACCTGCCCCAGATTATCGGGGAATCTGCCAGGTCCTCCTGCCTCTACTCCCTCCCTCACATCCTGCAGGTCTACCTCTATTCTTCCTCCCCACTAATTTCCAGAGTAAACCTCCTAAAAGGTAAACCTGATCACATTATTCCCCTGGCCTAAAAGCCTTCACTGGATCCCTAGGGGCCATGGACCAGAGTTTGAGCTCCTGGGCAGGGCTCACAAGTCCACCACAACCCAGCCCTGGACCACCGATCCCTACACGGTTCCCTCCCTGTGGCTGACCTGGAGTTTCCCAAAGGTGCCATGTTCTCCAGGTTTTCCTTTCTGCTCTCAGGGGCCTCATTTTAGCATCACCCCAATTGTCCCTCCCCTCCAGCCTGCCAGGCACCTCCTTGCCTCTAGCACCCAAATCAGAACTAACCTAGGGATCACTTCCTCTGCCTTCTTCTTAATGGCCCCAGGCCATACCCATGGCAGAGCCCATCATTTGGCCTTTGTGCTCCCACGGCTTGTATGTGTATTAGAACACAACATTTAATTACATACCATCTCCTGTGTATGACTGTAAATTCCTGGGGGACAATGTCTGTCAGTAGCCCAACAAATTGCCCAGGGCCTGGCATCAAGAATGTATTCAATAAAACCCACAATGAATAATAATGATACAACATTTATTGAGCGCTTAAATGCCAGGCACAGTTCCAAAGGCTGTGTGACAAAACTGTATTCTGTCAGTTAATTTGGACAATAAACCTATGAGGCAGAGACTATGATATTCCTCATTTTATAGATAAAATAATTAAAGCAGGGAAGTCAAGTAACTTATCAAGACAACATGGCTAATAAGTGGCAAAACTAGGACTCGGACCCAGGCAATCCAAATTTGGAAACTACGTCACTATCAGAAGATGAACATAGTTATCAGGTATTTCTATTAAGTGACTTGGAAATACTTTTTTTTTTATTGCCACAGTATTCTACTGCCAACAATTATATCAGCACACTAATATTAAGACTGAAATAGTCCTAGGATAATAAGGCCTGTTCCAATAAGTATCTGCTCTAGGACATGACAATGTAAAAGGACATGGTAGAAAGGACTGAAGACAGGTTCTAGAGAAATGCCAATGATTTTGAGGATCCAACAGTCCCATCCATTTCAAGCAACAAGAATGAAAACTGTTTTGCGGCCACGGGACTAAGGGCCGTGCACACCTCTTGGTCTAGGCAGAAACTCTCCCTCTAACAACTCTCCCAGGAGCATGGTGACCAGCCCCAGGCCTGCATCACAGGGCCACCTGT